GAGGGAGCCTCAATCGGGAAATTGCCTCTATTGGACTGGCCTGTGGCCATGTCTGAGGGGCATCTTCTTGATGAGTGATGTGGGCGGGCCCAGCCCACTGTGGGTGGTGCTACCCCTGGGAAGGTGGGCCTGTGTGGCATAAGAAAGCAAGCTGAGCAGGGGCCAGGAGAGCAAGCCAGTAAGCAGAGTTCCTCCATGGCCTGTGATCCAGCTCCTGCCTCCAGGTTCCTGCCCTGGGCTCCCAGATGAACTGTGACCTGGGATATGTAAACTAAATAAACCTTTTCCTCCCCAAGTTGGTAGTGGTCAGAGTATGTTGTCACAGCATTGAAGAAACAAACCAGAACACTGTTTCTAACCCATCTGGAGAGTAGAGCAATGCTGCCCCATAAATTTGCTGAGATCATGTATAGATCATGTATGTCAACCTATACATATACATAATAATATATACATGTAAATACATATACATATGTACATAGATATATATCAGTCTGGAAACATGGCAATCTCCCAAGTGATCCTAAATCCACTCTCCTTGACCAGGAAGGTCCATCACAGTCGCTGTATGACTCTGGTTTCACAAAGAACCAGGTCCCATGAGATGCTACAACCAGACCTTAATATTGAGGAGGTGACGCAACGGGTTATGTTTTCTTTACTTTTATTTATTTACTTTATTGTGTACATGTGAGTGGGAGGTATGCGCATGTCATGGTGCATGTGTGGCTATCAGAAGACAACTTGTGAAATTGGAAAAATGGTTCAGTGGTTAGGAACACTGGCTGCTCTGGCAGAGGACTTGGATTTGAATCCCAGCATCCACATGGCCGCTAAGAACCATCTGTAACTCCAGTTCCAAGGGATCTGATGCCATCTTCTGACTTCTACAGGCATTGCATGACACAGGTACACTTACATACATGGAGGCAATATACTCATACACATAAAATAAAACGCAAACTAATAAGTAAAGTATTTTTTTTAAAAGAAGATGATTTGTGGCAGCTAGTTCTTTCCTTCCTCCATGTGGGTTCTGGGAATGGGACTCAGGTCCTCAGACTTGGTGGCAAGAGACTTTGCCTGTTGAGCCTTCCCAACACCCCTGGGTTATGTTTTTTTTTTAAGACTTATTTATTTTGATTTTATGTTTATGAACTACAGTATTTGGGGGGTTTATTTATTTTTTATGTGTATGAGTGTATTGCCTCCATGTATGTAAGTGTACCCATGTCATGCAATGACTGCAGAGATTAAACGAAGGCATCAGATCCCCTGGAACTGGAGTTACAGACAGCTGCCATGTGGGTGCTGGGAATCAAACCCAGGTCCTCTGCAAGAGCAGCCAGTGTTCTTTTCTTTTAAATGTATTGTTTATTTGAGTGACTTCTTTTTGTTAAATTGTATGTATTATTTTTATGTGTATGCATGTGTTGCATGCATGTAGGTAAGTGTTCCCGTGTCGTGCAATACCTGTGGAGGTCAGAAGAGGCTGTTGGATTCTCTGGGACTGGAGTTACAGACAGTTGTTAGCTGCCATGTGGGTGCTGGGATTCGAACCTGGGTCTTCTGCAAGAACAACCAGTGTTCTTAACCGCTGAGCCATCTCTCCAGCCTGCAGCCAGCGTTCTTAACCTCTGAGCCATCTCTCCAGGCCCCACCAGCTAGTATTTGTACATTACATGCATGTAGTGCCTGTAGAGGCCAGAAGAATGTGTCAGATCCTTTGGAACTGGAGTTACAGACAGTAGTGAACAGCCCTGTAGGTGCTGGGAACTGAACCCTTGCCCTCTGCAAGAGCAGCAAGTACTCTTAACCACTGAGCCATCTCTCCAGCTTCTAGGTTATGGTTTTAGTATATCAAACCACTCCCTCCCCAGTAACCTTTGTGGCTATTACCATATGCAAGTGTGAACCACTATTTAGTGACTATTTTGATGTGCCTGTGAGGATACTTCCACAAAGATTTAACTGAAGTAGGAATGCCCTGCATGTGGGTGGCACCACTACCCAATGGGCTGGGCTACCAGGCCGAATAAAAGGGGGAAAAGAAGAAGCCAGCAGCATTCATCTCCCTCTGCTTCCTGACTGTGGATGTAATGTGACCAGCTGCCTCCTGCTTCTGGCCTCCGGCCTTCTCCACCAAAGTGCACCGGATCCCCTCAAACCATGAGCCAAAATAAATCTTTCTTTCCTTGTGTTGCTTTCGTCAGGTATTTTGTCAAAGCAATCTTAATGTAGTTGTGCAAATGTTTGATGATTGCCCATCTCCTGATCTGGATGTCAACTTCACAAGATGCCCAGGTGGTCTCATCCAACACTCCATGCCCAGCATCCAGCACTGGGCTACAACCCAATGGTAATCAGGTGAGCCTGTTCTAAGTGCTCTGCCAAAGATAGGATACACTGTTTGCGAGGGACATTCTTTGAAGCTTTGGGTGGCCATCACCTCCAGGCCTTGTGGTGGTGTTGCCAAACTGGGGAAACCATCTTCTCTCTGGGTTGGAAAATGGTGATGGTCTTAATATTCTTTGACTTTTCTTGCAGGCAAGTAGGAAGACACCTAAGTGGTCACTATTTCTTGCTGTTTTTTTCTGTAGGGTAAGAAAAAAAAACCATCGAAAGTGCCGGGGGGCGGGGGGAGACAGGATACCAAGAGAAGAGAGAAGATTAAGAAGATTAATTGGCTAGCAAGATGGCCCAGCTGGTAAAGGTGCTTGCCACCAAGCCTAATGACCTGCGTTGGATCCCCAGAGCCCACACTGTAGAAAGCTCTCAAAAGCTGTCCACTGATCTCCACACACACCACAGTACCCACAAGCCCACACACACATATGCACACAAATAAATGCAAAACAAATTGTAAAACATTAGAAAATTCCTAGGATTTGAAACTTCCCACCCCTAAGTACTTGTAGTTTGTAAAAAATGATGTACCTACCTACCTTGCAGCCTTCACTGTGCCCTCTGCTGGTGGCTTTCTTCTCCAGATAATTTCTTCTTCACCTCCCCAGAGTGTCTCCACCTGGCAGATTTGCATTGCCTGTCTTGCCCTCCCAGTAGCACAATCACCATCTGGTGTTATGATGCATATTGATTTGTTGTCTAGAGTGGCATTATATGCTAGAGCTTTTCATGATGGTAGAATGTTCTAGATCTGTCCCGTCCAATATGGCAGCCACCAACTACATGGGCTGTTTAACCCTTGAAACAGTACAGTGAGGAACTGAGCTTTTCTTTCAATTAAAAAAAAAAATGTGTATGAGTGTTTTGCCTGCATGTATGTAAGTGCACCTCCATCATGCAATACCCAGGGAGGTCAGAAGAGGGTGTTGGATCCCCTGGAACTGGAGTTATGGATGGTTGTTAGCTGCCATGTGTGTGCTAAGGATTGAACCCAGGTCCTCTGCAAGAGCAGCCAGTGCTCTTAACCACCAAGCCATCATTCTAGCCCCTACTTATAAATTTAAACAAAACAGCCATATGTGGTTAACAGCCACTATATTGGGCAGTAAAGAACATTTTGCCACCACAAAAGGTTTAAGGTCCTGTTAGGCAGTGTGGCCCTAGGATTCCCGCTCTTCCAGGGAATGGAACTAACTTGGCAATATTCTCAGGATCTAGCACTAGGCCTGGCAGAGGAAAGATGTGGTAAGGGGTTTGCTGAATGAATGCTTGCAAGGATTCCACAAGGCAGTCATCTTGGTGCTCCATCCTTGGGCACTCCTCAATCTAAAGTTCAAGGGCTTCTCGCTTCCTTGACATCTTCCTGAGATCCAGTAATGACCCTTCCTGCCTTGAACCCAAGTGTAGAGCAAGCTTGGAAGATCTTGATTCACCCATCCCCAGACCTCCACAGACAGCCTCATTCATGTGTTTCACGAACTCACATTTATTCACAGACAGACAAAGGAACGGGGATAGACCTTTGCTCACTGGGAACCCCAGAACTGGGTCTGGCAGCTCCAGAGAAGCCATGGCAGGTCCAGTGTTTGTAATGGAGGACTGGCAGGCTGGGGCAAACCCACCAGTCTGTAGCCCTCTGACCAAGCGTCCTCCGCCTTATCCTGCTTTACTTAAGACATGTGTTGGGGTGAGCAGTTCCTAACCAGCATCAGGGGTCTAGGGATGGGTAACGGGGAAGGTGGGTGGCCCAGGGCCTCCTCTCCTTAGCGTCAAGGGCTTGAGTTATAGGCAGAGGAGGCGCCTCTCCTTCAACTTCCCTCCTCCTACGGGGAGCTCATCTGGAGGGGCAGAGGGCGGGTGTGAGGGTCAGGAGGCCAGGCCCCCCAACCCTCGTAGGTGGGCCTTGCTATCCACCTCTTCATCCTCCATCTCGAAGGCTGAGTGGTCTTGACTGTCAAAACAGGAGGCGCTGAGGAAGACAGGAGGAGCCGGTGGGGCCTGGGGTGGGGTCCCAGGGGAGGGTGGCTCTTCTTTGATGTGTGCGACGGACAAGGGGAGCCCTTCTGCCTCCTGCTTCAGCGGCGGGGTCTGGGGTGACTGAGCCTGGGCCTGGATAGCCTGCAGGGCGGCAGCCCTCTCCAGCTCCGCGCGTTCCAGCTCCGCCCGGTGGCAGCGCTGATGGCGCAGCAGGCTGTAGGCGCGGGAGAAGCGCCGTGGGCAGCGAGGGCATGGATGCGGGGCGGGACCGCCGGCGTGGACTTGAGCGTGGCGGGCCAGGTCTGCCAGTCGCTTAAATTCCCGTTGGCAGCGAACACACTGGAAAGGGCGTGCCCCGGAGTGGGTGACCCCGTGTTGGCGCAGGTGTGCCCGGCGTCGGAAACCTTTGCCACACTCGGGGCACCAGAAGCGTGGCTCCCCCGCTGGGGGTCGGGCTGGGGTGGCATCTCCTCCATTCTGCCCTCCTTCTCCACCTTCTGGGGCACCTCCACATTCTGCCCCTTCGCCCCCCTCGGACCCTTTCCCTGAGTTCCGTCCACCCGAGGCTCTGTCGTCCTGCTTGCCTGCCCCGGGCAGCGGGGCCAGCAGGCTGAGCGGGCCGTGGACACGGCGATGCTGGCGGAGGTAGGAGGCCAGGCGGAAGGCCAGGCCGCAGTCTGGACACACAAAAGGCCGGTCGGTGGAGTGGACCAGCCGGTGCCGCGACAGGGACCAGGGCCTGGCAAAAGCCTTGAGGCAGATGGAGCATTGGTGCCGCTTGGGGCGCGGCGGGGGCCCCCCTTCACCCTCCTGTTCGCCCTCGGGGCGCAGGCACGGGTGCGCTTTGAGCTCCCCCTTGGTGGCAAAGGCTTCGCGGCAGCGGAGACACAGCAGCGTCCAGTCGGCCTGGAGCAGAACCTGCTTCTCCTCCTGCCGCCCGGCGGCTAGGGCCAGCTCTGCCCGCAACTCGGCCGCCCCGGCCTCCGCCTCCTCCGCCTCCGATTCCCTCGGCTCGGTGCTCGCCGGGGTCACCGTCGGGGCGGGCTCCCCGGTGGGCCACGTCTCGGGCCACGCCGCCACCTCCGGCTCCGCTGCCTCAGCCACCGGCGCGCCGGGCTGCTCCACGCCGTCGTCCTGCGAGCCCTGGCTGGACTCGGGCTCCTCTTTCACTGCCCTCTCGGTGGCCAGCTCCACCTCGCCCCCCGCGTGCTCCTGGGCCAGGTGGCGCCTGAGCTGGGCGGGCTCAGGGAAGGTGCGTGGGCAGGCAGCACAGCGCAGTGGGGGCTGCGGCCCGTGGCCACGCAGGTGGCGCGACAGGTGCGCAGGCCGGCGGAAGGCCTTGGGGCACAGGGGGCAGGCGTGGGGCCGGAGGCCCGAGTGACTCAGCCGGTGCCGAGAGAGGTAGTAGGGGAAACGGAAGAGGCGGCCGCACGTGGGGCAGGGCAGAGGTGCCCGGGGGGCTCCAGCACCCCCCCTGCCGCGGCCACGGCCTCGACCACGGCCTCGGCCACGGCCACGGCCTCGGCCACGGTGAGGCGGGCTGCCCTGGGCAGGTGGAGGGGGCTGCGGATCCATGCCTGCGGAGAGAAAGGGGAGAGGCGGGGTGGGGGAAGAAATGAAGGACGCGGGTGTGGCAGAGAGAGACGCAGGGAGGCAGGTGCTCAGTCCGGGACAGGACACAGAGGACCGGAGACACACAGCACAGAGTCACAGAGTAGGAAGGGGGAGGGGAGAGAG